ATCCCATCTACATATTTACTCTGTACATATACGTATATCATTGTTATTTATCCCCCAAGGTGTTTTTGCCTGCAATCTTTATTTACATCTACATATTTTATCACGAGAAAAAGTATATAAAAATAATCTCCTTTAAATTTATTTCAAGTTTACATCTATTTTAATGCCAAGTAAACAATTTCATTCTAAAAAAAACCTATTATTTTCTACTCTATTTTTTTAATATGCTAAAAAACCTTAAAATCAATCTATTTAAAGATACACGAAAAATTACTTTCTTTGCACTTTTTCACTTTGATCGCCCTTTTCGAAATGTATCAATAATTCTAATACTTTGTTGTGAGAAAAGGAGAGTCCGGATTCTATCATTTACATCAAAATTCTATAAACGGGGGTGCTAACTTTCACTGTAAAAAAAAATATGTAAAATTACATTAAAAATATGTAAAATTACATAAATAATAAATGTAAAATTACATGAAAAGATAAACATTTCTATTATTAATCGTGTAATTTTACACTTATTATTTATGTAATTTTACATATTTTTGTGTAATATATTACATATTTTTTTACAGTGTTACTAGATCAGCCGCGATAAACGCGCTTTCTGTTTGTGACTGTCGCGAAACTCATCGGATTTCGGCTGAGCAGCGAAAAATTTCTCCATATCCTTCAGGATGCTCCAAATTTATGCCCCTCCTTCCTTCTTCCTCAGCCTTTCGCACCAAACTCCGGCAATTAATTTCGAGCTCTCGCTTTTCCGAAACGCATTTCGGATGCGCCCCTTATCTAATGGCGCCACAAATCACCACTGTATATAATGATCCCGATGCTGAAAGAAGCGCGATCATCGCATCCCTTCTGTCTCCCAGCCTTCTTTTCCCTCGTTTTCAATTCGACATAATGATCAGAGAATCATCCCCCATCCTTGAATTGAAATATTATTTACACATAATCCGTTCTAAAAAATAAAGTAAATAAATAAATAACTTAAATTGTAAGTTTTTAGGGTCAACTTGAAGTCAATTTCCTTGAATAAAATTTGAAAAAAAAATTTCTTGCCGTTTTCAAATATATTCAGCCTTAGAAATCACAGTAAATAAATTTTGAACTAAAATATTATAAAAATAATATCTAATACCTATTAAAGTTTTTAATTTTATTTCTATTTTTATATTAAAGAAATCTTCAGAATAGATTAAAATTAGAAAGATTCTATCATGTAATTATTATTATTATGCGTGTATTATATAAATAATTTAAATTTGTCGATTGATTTTTGTTCTATTAAATTAAAATTGATTCTTTTATACATCGACATCTTTAGAATAACAAAAGCAGTTAATTGCGTCTCGTTTCACGTATAAATTAATATATAAATTTGCCTTTAATAGCATATTCATAATATGCTTGGCGTTATATGCTACGTTAAGCAAACCGCGAAGTCGGCTAATTAATTACAATTAATAAAATAAATATCGAGGAGCACAAATATTATAATATAATAAGACCGGTGGGAATTATACGGTAATTAATTCCACAATGAGGTTGGAGAAAGTATTATTCGCTCATTATAAACCTCAACAATTTACCCTACTGTTTATCCCACGTTTAAATTCTGTTTTTCGTGCGAATTACATCTGTTAATATTTTCTTCGGTTTAATTAGAGGGAATTCTCTCTAAATTTGCGTCGAGTTTAATCTAGTTGTTTAGTATAAAATTTCAGGATTTTCAGCAGACTCCGTGAAAAAAATTCCCCGACTTTTTCAGATTTTCCAAGACCAGAAATTAATTTTTTCCCTGACTTTTTAGTATTTTTTCCAAATATATAATTTGCATATATCTGTATGATAAATCAATTAAATGTTAAATTAAATGTTATACTAAATCAAATTTTTAGTTTTGTCTCTATCAAACACACTGAAATAAAATAACACGACAATGAAAATATAAATTAACAAACACGCTGTAGATGAATCGATTTTTAACACAGAAAATTAGCGTGTTGGGAGTCGAGGAAAAGTTTATATTTATTTAATAAAAATTTCAAATTATTGAGACAAAAATAATGTGAAAAAGTTCAGATAAATAGTAAAACCTGACAATTCCAGATTTATCAAATTCCCTGACAATGAGTCCGGTTTTCCAGATTTCCCTGACCGCTAGACACCCTGACAGTGTATATAATTTCATTATATAAAAATATTTTATTACATAAAATATTTCTAATAAAATATATTTATTTTGTATAGTAAACATATTTTTGTTGTAGAAAATATTTTGTTTTTTCAATTTATATTACAAATATTTCGAGCAATATTTTGTTTTTTCAATTTATATTACAAATATTTCGAGCAATATTTTGTATTTAAAAAAAATAATAAAAATACAATTTATTTTTAAAAAAATATTACCCCCAATAAATGTATGTAATAAAAAATTTCAAATTATTGAGACAAAAGTAGAATGTGAAAAAATCCAGAGAAATAGTAAAATTTCCTGACTTTTCCCTAACAATGCCCGGTTTTCCAGATTTCCCTGGCCGCTAGATACCCTGAATTTGTTTGATAAAAAAAAGCAAAATTGCAATTTTTTTTTTTTTTTTTTAAGAGAAGGTATATAAATTTCTCTATCTAAAATCGAAGATTTCCTTCGCGAAAGACGATTTCCCTCTCCGTCGCATTTATACCTATCCATCAGCGAGGGAGAGCAGGTAAAGGGGAAAAGGAGGCGGAAACGGATGCGATGGCGTGTGCATCGCGGGTGGTTTTCATTTTGCGAACTGAATATGATTTGCCGTACGAACGAGCATGTGGGTTAGCGCTTTCCCGAGGCTTTATATACCGGTGCATGGGGTGAGAGATGGGACTGCAGGTTGCGGGATCCTGACCCTCCTTCGAGAGCACCCTCTTTTGCCATCCTCCACCCGAGGGAAATGCTTAAAACTTAAGTTGCTGTTTACTCCGTAACACAATGCTCCGCCGTTTTCGCACTCTGCGAAAAGTTCGTGGCTGTTAATTTTCATTATTATTTCCGATGCTTCAGAGTTTCATAAAACAGGGTGTGTCGTTAAAAAAAATATAATATCGCATAAATCTGTCGTCAAGATTAAATTTATACTCTAACTTCTATCATGTGCTGGCATTTCTTCGAATTTAAGAGATTTTTCTCTTAAATATTCAAAATTTTTTTTTTTTTTTTGCAAAATATTGATTATATTATGTACTTTTTATGGGATGTCGGTCATAAAAATGTATTATTGATTATTCTTTCATGCTGGTAAATTATTATTTTCTGCGACAATTAAAGAGTAATAATATATTTTTATAAATACATCCTTTGAAAAAATACATAATAATCATCAATAGTTTGCAAAAAAAATTATATATCAAATTATTATCCCTTAAATTCGAAGAAATGCTAGAACAGAAATTAGAATATAAAAATGGATAATATATGGACGCTCTCAAAAATTATATTCAAATAAAATGTCGACGTTGCCAGCAATTTCACTTTATTGAAATTAAATAATCCTATTATCTTATATTATTATATCAAGTCGTTTTCATATCGATATTAATAATTCAATTTTTAGATCCTTGTTTCTATAATCGCAGACAAGCGAGCCGGTCTATTATTATACTTATCGAATTAATTTAATTGACGAACTGTCGCCTAGACTAATCGCATTATTCTTTTTCTGTCAATCTTACGGATCAATTTATTATGCAAACTGAAATTCGATATTTTTTATGAAAAGGATCATTTCGCGTATTAATAATCGAGCTACGATTTAAAATGCAATTAATGAAAGAACAGAAATTCCTGACCAACTCACTTCTATTATTTTTATCTTACATAAAACAGTGTAGAATTTCTTTTTATACAGTGAAAAAAACGTATTAAATAAATAAATATTTATTCAATACTATCTAATAAATCATTTATTTGAAACAAATAAATATTCATCTGTTTTGAAAAGGATTTTCTTATATCAAATAAATATTTTTCACATTAAATAAATATTATTAGTTCCAAATAAATGATTTATCAGGCAGCATTGAAATAAATATTTATACGATAAATTTTTTGTCAGTGTACGCAAGTATCTTCATAAAAAAATACCATGAAAAAAGCAAAACCATACTTTTTCGGGATACAGAAAGAAAAAAAAGCCGTAAATAATTCACGCGTTTTGCATTCTTTCTAAAGATCTATTCCAGGGTGTCCAGCAGACTCAATGAAAAAAATTCCGTAATTTAATTTATACTAAATCAAATTTTTAGTTTTGTCTCTATCAAACACATTGAAATAAAATAACACGACGATGAAAATATAAATGAACAAACACGCTGTAGATGAATCGATATTTAACACAGAAAATTAGCGTGCTGGGAGTCGAGGAAAAGTTTATATTTATTTAATAAAAATTTTCAAATTATTGCGACAAATGTAGAATAATGTTAAAAAATCCAGACAAATAGTAAAATTTCCTGACAATTCCAGATTTATAAAATTCCCTGACAATGTCCGGTTTTCCAGATTTCCCTGACCGCTAGATACCCTGACAGTGTATATAATCTCATGATATAAAAATATTTTATTATATAAAATATTTCTAATAAAATATATTTTGTATAGTATACATATTGTTGTTGTATAAAATAATTTATTTTTTCAATTTATATTACAAATATTTCGGGCAATATTTTGTATTAAAAAAAATAATAAAATATAATTTATTTAAAAAAAAATATTACCCCAATAAATTTATGTAATAAAAAATGTCAAATTATTGAGACAAATTTAGAGTAATGTGAAAAAATCCAGATAAATAGTAAAATTTCCTGACTTTTCCCTGGCAATTCCAGATTTCTAAAATTTCCTGACAATTTTTTTCCCGGTTTTCCAGATTTCCCTGGCCGCTAGACACCCTGTATTCACGATCAATTCTCGCATATTTTGATAATACAAAATGGCGTGACGAAATACTCACGTCTCGCGAAACGGAGAAACCTGGCCCTTCGTAATCGTAATCCTTCGAAGCGAGGAGTATCACTTTATTTCCGTAGCACTCGACAATCTCGACAATCTTACACGGACTCCGTACGAAACATCTAAAACTACTTATCGGTCCATTGCCGAAATCACTCGAGCTCCATCGTCCTTCCTGGCGTACCGGACGCCTATCGGAGTCTCTTAATTCTCGGCCATGTCCTTGAAAAAAGGCGAAACGTTACATCTGACGACTCTCTCGGAGAGACGCTATTTCAGATTCAGCCACCTTCCATGAAGAACCACCATCGGTTGCCGCCCCGCGAATTCCATGGAGTCTTTATTAATCATCCCTTCAGCTCCCACGAGTCCTTCGGCTCTCGCTGCATCCTCTCGCGAAAGGATTCCTCTCCTTGAAGGTGGAGAAAGTTCCGACTTTTAGAATCGCAGAGAGGGATCTGCAATTTTTGCCATCGCAAATTCTTCTTCCAAATAAATATCCTTTAAGCAGAGACACGTTGACAGATAAAGAAGTCTTCAAGAAATCAGCGATTTTTCAAGCAAACAAAAATCGCATTCTTGGCGGCAAAAAAGAATTTTTTTTTTTTTTTTTTTTTTGGTACCAGGATGTGCTTTTGTGAAGAATTTTGTCTAAGCGAGCAAAAACCCTCGATATTCCTGGGATGCTGAGTTTTCTAGGCCACGCAGGTAGGAGTTTTCCAAAGCGATTCGAGCGAGCAGTATTTTTTCAATCAAATAAATCCCTCATCTTTTGATGGGAAAAGTCGCAATTTTTTCCCTCAGCGCGAAATTAATTTTGACGCCTTTGTCGGAGATGATATTAACTCGTCATGCTTTTCAACAGACGGGGATCACAGATCTACATCTCGCTCTTCTGCAGAATATCTTTCCCGACACTCGATAAGCGCGCGATTCTTCCTTCCCGAAGATTCCTGCAGACTTGCTCAGCATCTTACTTTCCTCGATAAATCGATGTCGGATGCGAAACGATGTTTACTTCTTCGCAGCCACCCTTCTCGATCAATGAAGTATCCTCGCTAATCCATGTTTCTCTTCTCCCTCGATGTACAAATCTTGCCTCTTCCATTCCTCCACGTATCCATTTAACAATTCACCGATTCGATCGATTAGTGTCCGTCAGTCTGAAATGTCCCTTCGCAGTTTTCACATATACAGATCCAGCTCTCTGCCCGCGTGACTCTTCCTCGAAGCACAGTTTACTCTTCATCAACTAATGGATCCGCGCATCTCCTCTTCCGGCATGACGATAGATTCGTCGAGGAAAGAAAAAACTGCACCGATCCACCAAACGAACCCGCGCACTGCTTTCGCTGCCTAAAAACCTGGACACATTTCAATAATACTGATCCACGGCGCCGTTTCTCTCCCACTCGCACAGAATTCCACCCAGAACGCACAAATCTCTTCTATCGTGGATACAAATCCACGCCTCTCTTTCTCTTTCTCTCTCTCCCTCTCACTCTCTCTATACATATATATATATTATATATATATAGAGAGAGAGAATCGCGATATATATATATATATATATATATATATATCTCGATTCTGTCTCTGTCAAAATATTAATCACTCCAACACAAAACGTTTCCTCTCTTTCTCTCTCACACACACTCTCTCAATCTCTCTCTCTCTCTCTCTCTCGAAATCCACGCCTTTCCTGCCCGCACCAAGTTCCTTCACCAAGTAGCCATTAATCGCGCGCAAAGGCTTTCCCGAGCCAAAGGCAGAGCACGCTTTTCAGCCCCGTAACACGAATCTACGAGCCTCCGGGCGACGAGCAGGAAAGGAATTCCAGCGGAAGCGACGCGGTAACCCAGTTTCCAGCGGGAGAGCCGCTCCTCCCGGCATGCAGCGCATAAAAATGGCTCCAGTCCCAAGGCGTCGCGATGTTCCCGAAAGGTTTCCCAGGATTTTCCCGATCCGCTTCAGCTGATCCCTATGCAAGCGACACGGATTCTCCCCCGGAAATCACTCTACTTGATCACCGGAAAGCTCACCGTGGCGATAGCAAAGTGGAAAGGAAGGGGAAGGAAGAAGGAAAGAAAGAGAGAGAGTTAGAGATATAAAAAGATAGAGATAGATAGAGAACGAGGAAAGAGATAGAGAGAGAGAAAGAGAATGAAGAGATTACTCCGAAATTCCACGGATGTCGTCTCCGGATGACGTCCCGACGCTTTCCACTCGAGAATAACCTCCGCGCAGCCAAAATGGTGGACGGCACTCCCGAGGGCAGATTGTGACGTTTCGCTCCGCCTGATTCGGCGCCACTCGAATAACCCCGTTCGGCGAAACGTCGGAGATCCTCCGCGAGCGATCCTCCACCGCGACGAGTCTCTCCCGGCGAGGGATTAACACCCGCGTTCCGACAGGGCAGATCACCCCCTGTTTGGGGTGTCCTTGGTCCACCCTAGATACGGCCTTTCCGAAATGGACTTTCCGCACCGCTTCCGCCCCGCACGATTCCACTCGGACGCGCGCGCGCGCGCGCGGGCGCGCTCTCGCGTTCACTCGGTGACGTTCGCGCTTTCGCGGGGACGCTCCGCGTCGAGATACCCTCCGGCTGGCCGTCGTCGAGTCGCCCTCAGCGTCGTGGATGGACCCGTGGGGCAGGATAGCGTCGGCAGGATCCTCGCCAAGAGCATTCCAGGCGGAGGGTGGCGGACCGCACACGCCGCGCCATCTGTCGACCTCGCGGGAAAATACAACTCCTTGTCATGGCCGCCGGACCAACCCGCCCGAGTCAATAATAGGGCCAGCAGCGGACGCGGATTCCGCGGCCGCAGCGCCTACGCGACGTCATGGGCAACAACGTCATCCTCTCCTGAAGGAGGATGCACGGACACGTTGAGTTCTCTCGGCTTTAAGAGAGTGCTTTCTTCTTTCTCTCTCTCTCTTCCTGAAGTTCTTACCCTCGCCTTTCTCTCTTCGTCTCCGTGCGCGCCCCCGTTTCTCTTCCCTTTTCCCCTTTTTTTTCCCTCGCACGCGATCACGACGCCGGAGCCAGCCTCTCCGAGGTGTTCGGGCGACTGCGCGATTCGCACTGAATGCACCCCCGCATGGGAGCCGAGAGGGTGCGAGCGCCGGCCAGGAATGTGACTAGAAATCTCGTCCTCCAGGAGAAACACTTCGGCGACACGCGCGTCTTTTATCCCTCTTTTTTCGCGGTTTTGAATTTAAAGCCCGTCAGCCGCATTAAAGGGAATTCCGATTTGCCGCGCGTGAAAGAGGGTCGAGGAAACTAATTAAGAAATTTTACCTTTCTCTATTTTACGTTTAAAAATATTTGCGGCTGTATATAAATGTTTTTTTTTTTTTTTTTAAATATGTGTATATAAAAGACATCATATAAAACATTTAGGAATTCAAGATACATTTTCGCACAATAATTAATCAAGATCTTACAAGAATACATTTTTACAGATATACATATAATTATTAAGTGTATTATTTATTGTATTTTATTGAAAGAGAGATTCTCTCTCTTCTTTCCCCTGAAAATTTTGATAGCTTTAATTTTACATGTTGCTTATCAGGATGTAAGTTATAGAAATAAACTGATATACATTAATATACATAATAATAACGTATAAAAAAATTGTTTTCTTTTTAAGAGCTGGAAAAAAGTACTTAGTTAATCCCAGCATAGCATGAATATTTTAGAATAAATATTTTTTATTCAGGTAAAACATTTTCCATTGTAAAATATTCTCTAAAGCAAAAAAGATAGAAAGTAATACACGTGCATACTTTTAAAATAAATATCTTAAAACACTTTCTTAAAAACAAATAATTCCGAGAGAAAAGAGAAGTCTCTCTTTTAATAAAACGCGATAAAAAATATATTATATAATTACACAAATATATAAAAATATATTTATTCTTGCAAGATTGCAAGAGATGTTTAAAATTCAAATTAAAATTTCAATTTGAACGAAACGTTTGATAGATTCTGATCTTGATACACTGTAAAAAATATGTAAAATATTACACCAAAATATGTAAAATTACATAAATAATAGGTGTAAAATTACACAATAAATAATAGAAATGTTCACTTTTTCATTATTTATCATGTATAATTTTACATTTATTATTTATGTAATTTTACATATTTTTTTTACAGTGTAGTGTTAAGCGAGGCTTCGGATGATTCGTAATCGTTTCTGATTTAAGCGAAAAATCATTTAATGAAAAATACAAATTATAATTTGCGAGCAGAAAATAATTTCGCCTGACAATCCCGTCCCTGTCAGGGCCGCACGAATGTTGCCGGAAATGCGCGACGTCCGCAGTGAAACGATGCTCTCGCGGAGGCATCGCGCCGTTTTCAGGCACTTTTCGGGGCGCCGCGCCAGAGGGTGAAGGGGGATGAAGGCGGAGAAGGGGATGAAAACGAGGGTTGGCGAACGGGAACGCGCGAGTGGGTTGTTTTGTCGCCGAAATTGGATATGAATAATCAGAGAGTGCGCTCGCGCGAATGGGTGCTTTTGGGGAAGTTACGGTGCTTTTCGGCAGCGAGCGAAAGAATGCTGCGATTAGGGAGGAGAAATACGAAGTATGAAATTTGAAAAAAAAAAAAAAAAAGAAAGAAAAAAGAGAAACGAACGAGAGGAATACGCTCGGAAGAGTCGCATGCCATTTTCGTCTCGTGTTTATTGCATATTACAAATTCGCAGTACGACGTTTCTCCCTTCATTATGCGAAATTATTAAAGAAAATTCCTCCATTGCTACGCTGTCAATTCTTTTTTTATTTGCGCAAAACGCAAAGCAAATAAGAAGCGATAATAAAGGTGATTAAAGTCGATTTTTCCTTCCCAAGGGAAGCAATTATTTTATTTATCGCGACTTTGCAATTTTTAGCATCACTTATATACTTTTATAATTAAGCCTCGAATTAAAATTCTATTAAAGAGGGAATTCCACCTGGGATTAGTTTAGGTCACCGAAAGCTCCCTTTTTTTCTCTTTCCTTCTCGGCCACTTATAATTGAAATATTATAATATATGGCTTGATATTTTCGCTGAAAGAAAAATCGATTTTAAAATGTCTGATAACAATCTGTTATTGAAAGAATATCTAGTTTTTTTAAAGATAGTAGGATAAAATGTGATCAACATGCACATATATATCGAGAAGGAAAATTCTTATTTTAAATTATATAATAAGGCTCACATTCTCTAAAATAAAAAAAATATCACGACATTGTAATATTTTTTTTATATTAAACAGATATAGTATATATAAAAAGATAGAGATTTTTAACGAGATTTTTTTTCTCAACAAGAATGTCCCAGAAAAGGTGAAATGTGATTATATTCGCGTCAAGGCAATAAATTTATAAAGGTGGCTGGAATTTCGGTATTTTTACTAGCAGAGGTGCTCAGACATGTTTTCGCGATAAGAATGCACAATATTCCCGTCAATTACCGCTACGATTTCTAATCAATATTTACACATACGCTGCCTGGTATTTTCCCAAAACCGAAAAGCCACTCTAGCTTTCAAGGAATTAAACGTTAAGACACATTAAATATTCTGTTTATCTATGTCAATATTACTCTAAGTAAAAAAAATAAGATATCAAATATACATATGTACATATACAAGTATAAATATGCATTTTGATAAACAATTATATATATAAAATTCTGATATCTTCAATAAAAAGTCATAAAATCATTATTCCTGTTTATTTAATATTAATTATGTCTTTGAGATGATATATAATTAAAAATTGTTATTCTTTTCAATTTGAAATAATTAAATACTTGGTTATTTTCAGAATTTTAGAGTGTTACATAGAAATTCAAATTCTTGACCTTTCCAACTCTAAATAATCCCGGTTAAAAAGTCGAGCTTTTGGTTGAAAAGTTTAAAATTTTCCAATTGTTCCTAGACACGTGACTATTTGAGAAGTATGTCATAATTTTGTCAACTCGGTCTTCTTTGCTTTAATCACCAGATCGGTTAATTCTTGCAATTTAAATTGTTTAGAAGAAAATTCAAGATTATTTTACATGCGCAAAACTTTTTTTGCAACTTCATCATGCTGTCTTAGAGTGTAAAATCATCATCACATGGTCGAATTTATACTATGGTAGATCGACCGTGACATATCTTTTTATAGATCCCTACGCCAGTGTAAATACACCGGTAGTTGTATGAGAGCGTATCATGAAATCACGCGATGCGTGATGACGCCATAAATAAATCGCATCCTTATCGGAATGTAAATGCATTTACCTCGACTTTTCTCCGAAGCGAAACTGTCGATCCCGAACCCGCAAGGATCAGTCGACTGTGTAACGAGACGCGTGAAATGTGATTTACATATACCTTGTACGTATTTTTGAAGGAAAGATGTTTTGTGCCAAGAATCCTAAAGTCCTCGACGACAAAAGAAAGATCACCATTTGGCCGCAATGGCTAGCTGCTCTCACGAGTAAGTCTCCTTCATCTAATTAAACAAAATTTATTTTAAAATATTGACACGTGTAAAGTGTATTTAATTTAATTAAAATCTATTTATGAATAAACATTTTGATATTTTGCATTAAATTAACCGTGAAAACTAAATGTAATATGTTATGTATATTGAAAAGGAGAAAGGAGTTTCGCTAGAAAATGACTATGTTAGAAATAACTTTTAAACTATACTATAGTTTTGTACATAAAACAGCGTTGAAACTTATATTTCTTAATTCTTTTCTCTACCTGCCAACTATAAAATAAGTATGACTCGTTGAAAAATTATGTAAATTATATTTTATGTATATCATAATTATATTTATAAATAAATTATTTTGTCAAATATATTCAATTAAAAATCGTGTACTTCGTATTCAAAGAATATTATGCGTAACAAAGTGCCTTTTGCTCAAATAAGACCTACCTCTTTACTCTCTTCCTCTCTTTTTTTATTGCTGCACTTAAAACGACGTCCCATACGTTTCCGATACGTTGCCAAACAGTCAGTCTAGAAGCCATCGTTAGCGGTCTGGCAACTGGTTGGGCATCACCGTATTTAGCACAACTAACATCAGCGGAGGCGGATATTCCTTTGAAACTGACCGATACCGAGGCATCTTGGGTGGCATCCCTTTTGAACCTCGGACGTCTATTTGGAGCGCTTCTCGGTGCTTTTTGCCAAGGTAAGAATCCTCCGCCATCGCTCCCATTGCTGGAAACAAGATTCATCAATCATAACTTTAGAGAAATAAATCTTTAATTCGGTCAAATTCGTCGCTTAAGTTCTATTGTAAAAAAAAAAAAAAAAAAAAATAAAAAAAACCGCATAGATCTAATTGCTAATTATCTTTCTATTAATATAATTTATACATATCACGTTAAATATAATAATTAACAAATAATTAATTATTCTTATAAATTTTTATATATTGTCTGTACATTAATACTTTAACATAAACCGTATAATGTTTTCATCATTAATACATGTTTTTATATACCATGTGCATTATTCTATTTTTCTTACTTCAACAGGCAAATTGTTAGATCACACAATTACAGGATAACAAAAATCTAGTCCTTTCTGTGCAATAATGTTTTCTTCGATCTGTCGTTTAAACTGTTTTGAATCTTCTTCCAAAGAGCAAGCCAGCCACGACTCAGTAGCAATAGCCGAAAATCGGAAGCAAGTCTTCGTGTCTCAACAATAGAGCTGTGAAATATAGCGACACAAAAATCCTTAGAGACATCCTGGAGATCGTCCATATCGTTTACACATTTTTACATCCTTTTACACCTTGAATTAAAATTCTCGTGTCTTCGAAATCTCTTCAAAATTCTAATCCTAATATTTCCATAAAGTCTTGCGATTAAAACTATTATTTTTCCTTGAATTGTCCTTGAATCCTTGAAATCCTTCGTCTTCCCTCCTTTCTTCAGCATATATCCGTCGTCAAGAAAATGAGTTATCAGCGCAAATGGAAGTAAAGAATGGCGTCTCTCGCCTTCGAAGAGATCGAGCCGCAGTTCTGAGTTGTGGTGATCTTGTTCTCAGGATGATATGTCTTTAACACGCGTCTCTCCACGACACAATCCCTCAGAGTATGTCGGACGAAAAAGGACGCTCTTGTTATCGGGCTTGCCGTTGATCTCCAGCTGGATCTTCAACATCTGCGCCACGTCGGTCACGTCGCTCTACCTTTCCAGATTCTGTTCCGGAGTCGGATCGGGCATATTGTGGCCCGCGATGCCCTTGTATCTTGGCGAGGTCGCTGACCCTGCCATACGTGGCTCTCTGGTAACTTCATTATTTCATTAAAATTCCTCTTTCTTCGCATAGTCTTTTTCTTTAATTTTCTTAAAAATATCCTTAATAAATCATCATGCGAGACCTTTTTTCACGAAATATATACGATTTTTAAATTATTAGTTTGAGATTATATTCTTTGACATTTCTATACAAATAATATCTACTAAAATTTAGATTCTGGATGTAACATTTATAATATTTACTATCATTATGAGTATTAAAAGACAGACTGATATGAAAACGAGATCAATCGAGTTTCGATTTAAACGATATCTTCAATATTTAAACTTCGTTATCTTCTCTCAAGACTATTAAAGTAGATTACAAACAGAGCGACAGATTGTGATTTATTACAATTATATCAAGAAATCCTTTCGTAGATTTAAATGATTAATATTAAAGAAATTATTCAAACAATTCGCAGTAATTAAAGATAATATTAAATAATATTAAAATAAATTATTAAAGAATTATAAAGATTTCTTATAAAAAATTCGTCTCTCTATTATCAATTCTTTCGCCGTATTCACTTATTATCACTTAATTATTACATTTCGCTAATTACTAATAACGAATAAATTGAATTTATTAAAATCAATAATAGTAGTATAATACAAATAATAATCCAAATATTATACATAACGTTATGCGATTATGTAATACAAGATAATATCAAATATTTTAAAATTAATAACTCAATACTATATATATGATAAGAGAAATATTGATTACTATTCTATTTTTTTTTTTAATTCTCCTCTCTCTCTTTCTCATCGCTATTTTAACTGAATAATCTCGAGGATAAAATCCACATGTTTGCCAAGTTTTACAATGTGACGAAAGTAATAAACCATAACATGTGATTGCTTATTCAGATATCTATGAATGTAAACGTAGCATCCGTGGGTACTTTCCTGGCCACCGTGATGGGCCCTTATCTGTCTATGGAAATGTTCGCCTACGTGAGCCTCGTGCCGAACATCCTCTTTGTGGCCCTCTTCAGTTTGATACCCGAGTCGCCCTATCATTACGCTCTTCACGGTGATATCGATGAGGCCGAGGCATCTCTCAAGTGGTTCCGACGAGAAGCTGACGTCAAGGCCGAGCTGCAGCAGCTCCAGGACTTTGTTAACGGCGCCAGCGTCAGTATTCTGACGAAGCTTAAAGACTTCCTATTACCAGGTAATGGTCTTAAATTTTGAAAAAATAACAAATATTTCTTTTTCGAAGACAGAAATAAAGAATCCACAAATTAAGAATTCAAATAAAATTAAAAAGTTTTGACATTTTATAAAGTTGCCCAAAAACTCTCAAATAGTAAAGATTAAAGTTTTAAAAAGGACTCCACTAAATATATAAAATTTTGACTTTCAGTGGAATTAACTGTTTTTTTCCCATATGCTGTTACAAATGTCCTGCTGAACAAAAAATGTAATAGACTGAAAGCTAAATAATAAATGATTAATGATTTACAATTAGCCAAACACGAAAATTGTAATGCGACTAATTGTAATGAAATAACTATCGAATATTTAGCTTTGAAACTATCTTTTGTTCAGCAAATCATAAAGTACAATATATGGAAAAAAAGGTCAATTTCACCGAAAGCCAAAATCCTATGGATTTGGTGCTAGGTCTTTTAATATTTTATAAGCTTCAAAAATTCAATATTTAAAAAAAGTCTAATCAAGTATCAAAAATTTTGTTGGAAACAATTTAAAAAGCTAAGTTTGAAAAATTGAATCAAAAATCTATATGTACAAGTTGATATCTTTTTCTCTTTGTTCTAAATACAAATATTTTTCTTCCTTTACATTACATCACAGAAAACTCGTAAGACTCCAATGAAAATGAATCAATTAATCAAAATAATTTACAGAAAATTTTAAAAAAATCCTAATCCTGTTCGGGTTGAACGTCTTCGTTTACACGAGCGCGTACAACACGATGACTTCTTATGCGGAGATCGTCGTGACCAATTCCGGGGTAAGCATCACCCCGTCGATCGTGGTGATGGCGTTGAGTTTCTCCACGATTGTGGCCGGTTCCACCGCGGTTCTGCTGGTGGATACTCTCGGCCGGAAGAATCTGCTGATCGTTTCCTGCGTCGGCGTCTTCGTTTCGCTCGTCGCTCTCGGTCTGCACTTTCATCTTCTTTCCCTGAACTTCGATCCCGAAAAGTTGACGTGGTTGCCGATCACATCCCTGCTTTCGTTCAATCTCTTCGTATCCTACGGCTTGATCCCGGTACCCGGGACTCTTCTGGGAGAGATGTTTCCGGCGAATCTCAAGACTCTGGCGTCTCTTTGCATCGCCTCGGGAAATGCCACATTATCCTTCCTATTCGCCAGGACATTTCAGCCTTTCATCGCTGCGGCTGGGGAAAAAGTCGTCTTCTGGAGCTACGGGTTTGTCGTTCTTACAGCGGTGCCCTATATATGGTACTTGATCCCGGAGACGAAGGGCAAGAGCTTGCTGGAGATCCAGCAGTCCGTTAAGCAATAAAAATCTCGAAAATTATCGAGCTCGACTTTGATGAAAAGTTCAATTGATTCTCATTGAAAAGAGATAATCAATCTCGATACTTATCAAAGGAGCTATATAATTAGAAAAAAGTATACCAAGTTAAGTTAGTAAATTTCATATAAATTAATGTTCCAATTATAGCATAGAAAATTTATATTAAAATTATATTATATAGTAAATAAATTGCGTTATATGTGTTAAGATATTTTTTATATCAATATAAAATATATTTTATATTAATATGAAATAAATAATGTTCCAATATAGCATAGAAAATGTATATTAAAATAATATTATATAGTAAAATTTCATTGTATATTAATAGTATATATATTGAAATATTCTTTAATAATATAAAATACAATGTGCGACATTAAACAATATTAATAATCTTCCTAGACACACAAATCTTTATTATATTTAATTATATTTATTATATATACGTATTTGTCATTTGGATTTTATTTTTATCAATTAATTTCCTCCTCTCCTTTCTGATAATTATGTCTTGCTCATCAATTAATTTATTATTAATAATAACTCAAAAATCTATAAATCAATAATATAATTCAGATCTGAAACATCGAAATCCTTCATTCAATTGTCTTTGGAAACAAATGTCAATTAAATATTGTAACAACAAGCTCATAGTTAATTACTGCAATTACGTACATTTAAATATGAGATTATTATTGGCGTTCATTAAGTATCTTCAATTCCCTCAAATATTAGATTATGTCGACATGGTATGTACATACATTATTATCTTCATTATGAAAATTCCATTTTAACCAAAAATGTAAATGTTTGTATCATCGTCTTATATAAGACTAGTTTCTATAGTATATATCTATAATATGTGTACTATATAAACATTTATATATTATATTATATATATATATATACATAACATAATATATAAATGTTTATATAGTACAAATATATATATATATAATATAAATGTTTATATAGTACACATATATAGATACTATGTAATATATATATATATATATATATATATATATGTTTAACATTTATATTATTATTATATATATATATATATATATATATATATAAGTTATGACAAAATAGGGGGAAAAAATAAGAATATGTATATATTAATTATATGTTTGGCTCTGTAATTAATCGGATGGAAGTTTGATTAATGGTCATTATTTTCATATTTGTTACATTAATGAGTGCTGAAGCACGCAATATATCACCTGCAAATTATTTTATTACGGCTAAACGCAATCTCGCGTTATCGGGTTGAGATCGCGCGTGACCTTGACATTGATTGATCTCCTTGGATCGACTCACCTTCGGCATTGCACCCGGTGGAGAACACCTTCTTCACGGCAGCAACCTCGTCCACGTGAAGCACTCGCACTCGACAGCCCAAAAACCGCAGGAAACCAGCGAAAACACCAGAATTCGAACGCGCACACGATTTCGCGGAAGACGACGAAGCCAGGAAAGTGTTTCTGAAAAGGGGGAGAGGATACAAAATAGAGGGAACGCATCTGATTGGTCGAGCGGCAAAGCGCGAGTTTGGAACGAGGAGACTTGATTTTCTCTTCATTCACCGGTTTCTCTCGACTTCCTCCTTCTGCGTTTCGCCTTCTTCGCTTCGTCCTCCGCTTAAATGTCAAAATTGACACAAACTGGCGAAGTCCTGTAAGGATTTTGCGTCGAAAAAAATGGGCAAATATATGAAAAGCACAGAACCGCCAAGTTCGTTCGTCTATCGCTCCGCGTTATATAGATGGCTACGCGAGTGGTTCGGATGGAACTTCAAGGTCACGAAGTATGGAAAATGTTAGATGGTAAAGTGGGTCGACCAATCACAGTCGAGCATTTTGATCGCGATTGATCGGATTCGCTTGCAGCTCAAGTTTCACTTCTAGTTAATTTATTCTCTACGGTTGTCAACGCCGGCTGTCAGCTGTCAGCTGTCATCTGTCACTTCACGCGGGATGCTTTGTTGCTGCTTATTGTTACGATTTATACGCATGCATGTATAAATATATGTAAATATTACATGTATATGTAAACTTGTTTTATCTCGTTACATTAGGCTAAATAAAAATGAGAAATATATTTTTATGATACATAAAACTTACTAATCAATCGTAAAACTATGCAATAATATTTCATATATAAATTTACGAATAAATATTTTAAGTGTTGTAGAAAATGTATATAATTAGAATTTGCGATGTTCAATTTTGAAACTTCGTTGTCGAACAAACTTGAAATAAACACAGATGTTCATGACTAAAAGATATTCAAGAATATTTCTAATCTATTTTTGTTATTTTTGTAAAATTTCTTTTACATTTTCTTGGAATTGATGTCTTTGATCCTTTTATTTGTGATAACGAAATAAGTACAATTGTAAACTTTGTTCCAATTTTGATATTAATGCTCCTTTTATTTTTTTGTAGAAATACTTCATATTCGGACAATTGAAAGCTGTGAGACAACTAAATTTGTGACACAAGATAAATTGATGAAACGAACGAGAGCAGCTGCAAAAATTCAGCAGCAAAATACTATTGAAAAGAATGATGAGGAAACTACATCAAAGATCCAAACAACATCAATGGTTTATATAATATTTTATAATTTTTGTAATAAATTAAGCTTTTCTGACTAATAGACTATTATCAAAATAATTTTTTATTGATTTAATTTATGGCAATTTTTTGTTCAACATTTGCAGTTTTTTCCAAGTTGCAAATATTTTATTTAAAATGGCATACAATTCTGCATTTTCATTATTGTTTTCTGTCATTAGGTGGCATTGAAGGAGAGACAAAAACTGAACTTCAAGTCTTTACAAAATCAAAATAGCAAGCATGCAGGTAACACAAGCGATGCTCATATTACTACATCCTCTAAGAAATCCAAGAGTAATCAGAAAGAGCCAAATACCGAAATTCGCATCAAGGGTTGGTTACAAAATTAAGTAATTGATTAATTACAAGACTCTTGATTCCATAGAGATATTCTTGTTAATCAATTACTTTATATAGGAGAAAAGTTGAAACCAAACACGAGTCCTGGCAAAGGAAAACTAAGAGCTGTTGTGGACTTACAGATGATGAAGAAAGAATTGAGTCAATTAGAGGATCCTCCTGTGACACCCTGGGAAAAGGAGCTATCTTCCAATCGATTGCAATACGAATTCTTTGATACTCCGTGTGAGGAACTAGCACAGCAACTCCTAGGTTTGTGGATTAAGCTTCTCTTACGTAAGATGTGTAATGATAAAAATGTTCAATTTGTTACAGCAAGCATATATATATATGCTATATATATATATATATATATATATATATATATATATATATATATATATATTTCCAAAGTATTATAATTTTTCAAAATTTTATTCTGCATTTTAGCAATATTCGTTTAATAAAATTTTATTTTTTCTACAGGGAAAATACTTGTAAGGTATCTGGAGAACGGCACTATCCTCAAAGGGAGAATTGTAGAGACTGAGGGATATTTGGGCGCGATCGACAAAGCATCGCATACTTATCAGAATAAAGTTACATCTCGTAATCTGCCGATGTACATGCCGCCAGGAACTATTTATGTTTACATGACATATGGCATGTACCATTGCTTCAATATCTCTAGTCAAGGTGGGCATTCTTTAATACTTTTGCTAGATTAATTATACTAAAAAATATATTTATTAATTATACTAATATATATATATATATATATATATATATATATATATATATAAGTATAATATATATATATAATTAATATTATTATAGTATAATTAATAAACAACACGTAAATGTTAAAGTAACATTATATATTGTTTATTTAATTTATATTAATAATTAATCTAAAAAAAAATATTGCAAATATCATGGGCGGTTTCCAATTAAATTTAAAATAAACAACCACTAGAGTAATTAATCCTCACGCAATTATAAATGCGACAATTAATATAATAATTTGATATTATATCAAATGTAACAAATGAAGAATTTGGTTTCATCGTGCGGATCGAATTCAAAAGAGAACATTTATCTAAAGGATCATCTATATTCATTGATGTGTTATTAATGTTATATTAGTATAATATTGAATATTTAGAGGGAAACGCGCATGTATTGATCAAAGCGGTGGAACCGCTGATGGGCCTCGAGTATATGGAACTGCTAAGAAACATGGAACGCAAGGCTAACGGAAGAGAAAAGCAAATCGCGAGACGTGTGACGCGCTTAAAACAATACGAACTTTGTGACAATCCGTTCAAGATTTGCGACGCGTTTGCGATCGAGCAGGACGCTTTCGATCGAAAACTCGCTTACGCGTGTAATAATCTGTGGCTCGAGAGTCAACCTTTCGTAAGGTCTCCTACCATAGTAGCTGTACCGGCCAAAGATTCTGCGTCGGATAATGTTAACTGTACGAAAACTACGCGATATTATGTCCTGGGAAGCGCCAGCGTTGGCGATAAAGATCCCGAGTACGAGAAGCATGCTTATGTCGCGATGAATTAATATTAAAGAAAGTTTTGTAGATATTAAATATAGAATTTCTCATGTCTACAAGTATATCTATATCCGAAGGATGAATTTCGGATCTTTGTTTCACAAATATACATATATTTTTGCTCAAAAAGTTTTTTCAGTTTTTAATTAGAATTATTAAAAAACGATTATTTTTTTATGAAAAATTATAATTAAAATGCTGTGCATATGCTTTGAAACTGTAGCCCTATTATTATGAATTAAATAATATATAATAACATACTCTGCATAATGTAATAAGATTATAAATGAAAATCATGATAATATTCAATCTTTAGTCTTCAAGGAGTTTTTCTTTAAAAGAAAGGCTCTTTGCTTTTAAAGGATCCTGCACCATTATGTAGGATTTTAACTTTGGGTGAATTAGTTTTTTTTCTTCATATGTTGTAGCTTATGATCTGCTGACCAAAAACTGGAATGAGCTGAAAGCTAAATAATAGAGTTATTGATTTACAGCCAATCAAATATGAAAAACTTGGATTCTACGAGTTGTTTGACTGGCTGTAACTCAATAACTATCCAATATTTAGTTTTGAGAGTATTACATCTTTCGTTCAGCAGGACATAATTTACAACATATGAACAAAAAAAAAACCAATTCCACCGAAGGTCAAAATCCTATATATTTTGTGCAGGGTCTAAGCTACAACATAAAAAATAAATTATACATTCCTATCGCTCTTTGATGCCTCTTTATCTATATGAAAAGGAGCATTTTTTCTAATGTCATTTGCAATATCTTTAGAAAATTAAAAGAGTACGTTTGTATCTACAATCTATTATATTTTCAAAAGATTTCATCTCACCTGTTGGTAAGATCTTAGGTGACGGATGCGCAGTGCTGGTCCGAGCTCTCGAGCCTCTGGATGGTATCACATACATGGCTGATCAGCGCACTTCGAAGACGAAGAAAACCAATCTAAAGCCACACGAACTGTGCAATGGTCCTTCGAAGCTTTGTATTGCATATCAGATGAACAAGGAACACAACAGATATTCTCTTTGTACATGGAAAGGTCTGTGGATCGAGGATGATGGCGCAGCGGGAGATTTCAAGATCGTCAAATCCGCCAGAATCGGAATCGACAGTTGTGGTTCGGAATGGGCCAGTAAACCTTTACGTTACTACGTTTACGGCAATAAGTCTGTCAGCAAAAAAAACAAAAAGGCAGAAATGGAGATTTCTTAATATTTCGAGATTAATTTTAAAAAAGAAATTAGAAAAACGAAGTCTGCGTTTCTTTTCAGATAAAAAATGATATTGAGCATTAATTTTAATAGCATATATACTCTCTCTCTCTCTCTCTCTCTGAATCTAAATAGTTATAAAATAAAAAAACGAATATTTGTAAATGAGATAATTAACTAACAATAATTTATAGTACTGAAAATTACAAAACAAACTTTTTCGTCAGAAAACTATTTGCGCAATTTTTTGTATTTTTTTGCTTATTTTAAGTGATGAAATATTGTGTATTAGTGTTAAAAAATTTATTAACATTTAGCTATAAAAGTGATTGATAATTAAAGATGTATTGAATTCTATTATATTAATCATCATTAACTTATATGAAAACAAATATCTTTAATAATAATACTGTAAACATTGATATTAATATTAATACATAATGATACAATTATTTAAACTGCAAAGTAACAATTGGTGTGTGAATGTTCAAAGAGTTTGAAGATAATATCATAAAAAAATATTAATATATTATGAGGCATGAGTATTGATCTCAACGTTGATAGTTTGTGTAACCATTTAAACCATTTAAATTTATTTCTGAGTATGCGAATAAAATGAATTATTCGATAGTGGGAATGAAAAGAGTCGATTGGAACAATTAAATTTATTACAATTATTGAGTCTGTTTGTTGCAACAGTTAAGCGTATTATTATAAAATAATTAAATATAGAATTTCAATTATGCAGTCGATTTTCTCTATAATAAGATCATTAAAATGGAATATCTCCTCTGCTCTAAGATTGAATATGCATTTTCATTCTAATATAACATGAAATTTATGTTGAATAAAAATATTGCACCATCTATTTTGTTCTAATTTCGCGAATGTGAATAGTGAAAGAGCAATATAAAAAGAGATTTCTAATTTAGAGAAAAACAACTGACTTGGAATAGAGAAAAATCTAAAATAGATTTAAAAAATCGACTATAATTCTAATATACATATAAATTATAATAATCGTTAATATTCTAAATTATAATAATCGCGAATAAAAGTTTGAAGTTGGAGTTCAATATGTAGCCTTTTGGATTTTCTTAAATTCACACATCTTCGATTATGTACATAATTACGAAAGAAAATATAATTTTTAAAATCATACCAGAACTCGAAGCGTCAACTTTGAGATGGCTGATTTATGGCCAAGTCATGATTATCACACAGGTCATAATTAATTTCTTCTTTTAAAAAATTCTCAAATTTTACACAGAAGCTTTATTATGACCACTCCTTCATCACACGTTCATAATCCTCCTCCTCGATAAATGGCTTGTCTATTGACCTGTAAGAAAAATAATCAATAATACAAATAGTAAAATAATCGCATTGAGATTCATTAAGATCCAAAATTATTCTCAGATACGAATAATTACGAATAATCTTTAAATTTTAATACTTTTTTTTAAATTATTTAACGCGGTATTTACAAAACGTACTCTATCATAAGCTCTCCACAGTAGAGACATTCCGAGGCGACCAGTTCGTCAATATCGGCCTTGATTTGGTCTCTCGTAGATAAAGACACGGATGTCATCGAGGTGGTGTCTTCGGGGCGATTCGAGATAGCAGTTAATTGTCGTTGAAGATCCGCCAGTTTCGTTCTTTGATCCATAGACAGCATCGGCGTTAACGCCGCCACCAAACAATCACTATGAAATTTATGACCACAAGGAAAGACATAGAAAGGTCTCAACAGCAATTGCACCTCACATGTGTTGCACGTGTCCCTTGCATGCACAAAGGTGCATCTGAAAGAAAGTAGATTGATAATTAGATACAAAATAGAAATAATGTGCGATACATACGACATTTATAATGTTATATTAATGTAATAAACAATCATCTTATATGAAATAAGATGTTAATAAATTGAATTGGACTAAAGAAATAAAATAATTTTAAAAAATTATTTGTCAAATACCTGGTTCTAAAGGCTTGAATGTCCTTCCTGATTAGTTCTGCTGCCTTTGTAGCTTCTTGCATCTCCTCCTTAAGATCTTGAATATGCTGGTTATATTCCTATTACATATTAAAAGAAAAATTAATAGAAAGAAAGTTCTCTTATCTTTCTTTTATAATCTTCACTTTTCTCACAGTATACACAATCTTTTTTGTGATCAAATATTTATATAAAATTATCACTATATATATAGAAAGTCAAAGTATGCTAAAATTAATAATACAGAATGTTCTCGAAATGTTTTTGAAATCAAAATGTAACAAGAAATTAATTTTTTAAATCTAATTGCATATATTCACAAAGTTTTAATTTGTACCTGTAGAGAATTGCAAATAGCTTCCTTGAAATGATCAATTGTGACGAAATCAGAAAAGAATGGTAAAATATCTTCTATCCTAACTAAATCACAGTGCTGCAAAAATTCCATTGCTTGCTGTATGTCATCTTTTTCTCGCACCACATGCTCCGCTGCAACACAGCACAATAATCTATTTAGCAATAATTTAAAACAAATATATATATTTTTATTTTATTATATATTTATTATAATTATATACCATATATATATATATATATATATATATATATATATAAATATAAGTTTCAGATTTACGAGACTTTTTTAATAATAAATTTGATTTACCTATTTTTAACCATAATTTCTTTCTTAGCTCGTCATCATGATCAGAAGGCATAGCGGCAATCTGTTTAGCGAGATCGACGCTGATTGTAAGCGCGAGATCAACTGCAGCAGCCCACAAACCGAGTAAAGCTGACAACTGCACACAGGCTTCTGTCAAGCCAACTTCCTGGCACAATCGTAATGCGTAATGCACATCATAATGCACCATGCTAATATCTTGCCCTGGAATTAACAGTAATAGATCATCTCAAAGGTTGTTTTAAATTATAATTTATAATAAAAACTTTTTTAACATTTGTAATAAAAACTTTAAGAGATATATCAATTTATTTATAATTGAAGCAGATTCATAAAACGTGCGAGATATTTACCTTGAGAACTTATATATCGCATGACTTCGTCCTGTTTGTAACGCGCGTACAATGATAGAAGGAAATTGTGGATTGCTTGCTCCTGCGAGCTCTGCTTGTACACGCAAAACTCCAAATATTTAATAATTTCTTTCGCCTATAGAAAAAAAGGATAAATTATCAAAGAAATTATTATATAATTTCTAAATTATTATGTAAGAGTAATAACTTGTTTCTTACATGTTTCTCATCACTGTTGCACGAGACCAAAGCTGGCAGAAGCTTTGCTGGCTTCAGCGATGATCCCTGTGAGATCAAAACAGCTACCGTAGGCCGTGGCAATTCTTGCAGCAATATCCCCGCAAATCGATAGAAGAGATCTTTATTATTTTGACTTTTGAGTACTCCAAGCGCCTCCAGATAATTATTCTTGTACAGATGCTGACGAATCACCTCCTCGTAGTTGCAGTGCATTATTGTAAGACGTATTAGATTGTCCTTGTCGCCGTGATTGGCCATCAAATCGTATATCGTACTACGATTTCTTTTTATACATTCCTAAGCATCCAAAAAAGCTCTGATTAGTGTTAAAGTTAATTAAACTTATAAGTCAAATTAATTTATAAAGTGCCAAAAGTGTAAAAAAATGCAATATATAATATATATATATATATATATATATATATATATATATTTAAATTATATTTTACAATCCGTTCTTGTTTTTTTATTTACCTCGACTTTAGGAATGGCAAGAAAGCTATCAAACTGCTTCTGTAATTCTATGTACTGCGAATCGTGAAGATAGGATGTGTTGCTACTGCGCAAGGCCCCCATTTGGTTCATGAACAGCTCCGTCACCCAAATTACAATCATTGTTATCTGTGTTTTGTCTTGAGTCTTTAAACCGTCGAGTTTCTTGAAATAAATAACGTTTACACATGTTTATGTATTCAATATTTACTTGTAATAGGAACAGAAGTGTTGGGTGATTCTTACACTTATCAATATAATTTTTATATTTAATTTACCTTACGCAGAAACGTTTTCAATGCTTCAATTTGCCATTCCTGCAGAAACTTCAATGAAATCTCCTCGAAGGAAGAATGAGTATCAGCATATATTAGAGCACTCTTCTCGTACCTATAATATATTCAAATTTGGATTACATATTTGATAATACTAGATGATATTTTGAAGAAAGAATACTTTGCACTTTTAAACACAAATCTACTTACTCTTTGTTTTTGAAAAGCATCTCTGCCTGCTTGATGAGTACTTGATCAATGTGCGCTGGATTGTCCTTACAATACTGCTTAGCCAGCTCAAATTCACCCTTGTCAACGTACACCTGGACAAGACACATCCATATTATCATCATTTCTAAAGTGTTATTTTTATTTTCTCTTTACCTGCCAAACATTCCTATCTTCTTTGGTTACTCTGTACTTAAAGACTGCTCGCTCACTATAAGCCCAAATCGATCTCGTCGCGGGATCCTTGGTGATGCCAATTAATTTGCCGATCGCCTAAACATAATTAAATGACACGTACACAGTTTGTATTTAATTATCTCGCGAGAAGATTTAGCTATAATGCGCTATGTAATATTACATTTTATTACAATTAATAATAATTAAGTATTGTTATTTTAATTATAATTTTTTTCATTTTCTAATTCTTAATGAGCTGCAATTGTAATATAAATTGTAATTTAAATATAATTGAAAAATTCACATACATCATTGTAAATATCTTCGAATATCAGTTCCTGATTCAAGAGCGATATGCCCTTTACATGATCTGGATATAACAATAACGCGTGGAATTCCGTCAATACGAAGGATAATGGTACCGAACTGGTTTGTGAAACATTGCTGCCCATTAAACTTGTTTCCGGACACGTCAACATCTGCTGATTGATCAGTACGTTTGTATCCGACTTCGGATCCACCTAAAATCATCATACAATCTTGATCTTCTTTTTATATTTTATGTACTTATTTTTGTACTTTTTCTATTTCTTAACTGGTTATTATAAGAAATAAAAAAGTTATAAAAATTTTAAAGAGTTATAAATTAAATACAAAGGAAAATTCAAGAAAGAAATCAAGAGAGTAAAAAAGATTGAGATATATATTTAGATTTATAATTTTTAGAAATTTAAAATGCCATAGAGCATAATTATACCTGGGCATATAAAATACCAGTCTCTGTCAACCATCCAAATGACTTTGGTAAAACACCCAAAGATGGATAGTAGAATTGCATTTTGGAATATGGCAGAGAATTTATCACTTCACTGAAACTCTCTGCAACAAATATGTATTCATTTATTAAAATAGGTAGCCTTAACATGTAACAATGTTTTTCTTTTAATTTCTTTGAAAATTAAACAACCTTTTCCTTTATTTTACAGAATTCTTACAAGTTTGATTTAAAATATTAACATCATTCATATAGACTTTTATATATTTTTCTTACCTTGCGCATTCAGATATTTATAGAATACTTGTTGCAAGAGAGGTTTCTCTTCGGGATTGCCAATAGTACCAATGTATTGATAAATGCGCATAAGTGTAGTCACAATAATCACATATTTATCCGAGTTAGGTATTTTGTGGAATTCTATTCCAGTGATTGGAGGCTTACTATTTTTCCCCAGGTCAAATACCTAAACAAATCAAAGATATTTCACATACTATTTCAAATAAATTTAAATTATATTTAAATGCACGCAAATAATTTATATTAAAATATATTTTTAATGTGTATATAATAATTTATATATATCAATTTATATACAATAATTTATATATATTAATTTATATGTAATTTATATATAACTTACATATAAAAATTTATAGATAATAAATATTAATTTATATATAACAATGTAGAAGAGAAGAATACATGAACTCACCAATCCTCCCACCTCTTTTGCACCATAAAGAGGCAGGTAATTCGGAAGCTTTGTTAACAATGAATAGTGATAATGATGAGAGATTAAGGGTAGGTATAGGGAATAATGTGCGATTTGTATGTAAATATTATAATACCTGACGCCAATATTGCTCCAAACTTGTATTAAAAATCTTGTCAGTATCCAGTCCAATCTCAGTTTCGAAGATCAGACCCTTGGAAGTGCCCAGTAAAATTGGACCAGAGGTAGTTTCTGAGGTGCTGGAAAAGTTCCAGCCCACCGCAGTGATTTCATGACCTTTGAACTTGCCAGCCTGCTTGAGCTTTGTCGTCTTCCTGTGCAAGTAGAATATCTCCGAAGGTGGACTATCTCCATGTCTTGGCACTAGAGTTATCAATAGGTGGTAGCCCAATGGATCCAGAAACAAACTGGACATCTTCATGCTCAATGCATATTTGGAAATGTCGATTTCTGTAAGCAAAAATATAAGGCTCTCCATTTAATAATTAAATACAAAGAAATAATTAATGTCAAGTAAATAAAAAAAATTAATTAATCTTTACACAAATTAAATATCTACATTTATAATACAATTTTTCATTACAAGATTATATATTGTTATTATTACTTAATAAAAAAAAAGTTGTCACACCTTCAGTTTTGTCAGGCTGTTTCATATCAATGCGCAACAAGATGTTGTTAGCCATAGCAATCACAATCGTGTTGCTGCTAACAGCCAAGTGAAGAATTTTGTCGGATGGCAAAAAGTTAACTTTTTGTTTAGTAAATATTGGCCCATCATCTTGCAGCTTCATTTGAATAAAGCCTGCTGTGCTCTGTAAAATAATATTACAATTGTATCTTAATGTTTATAATTAAATATTAATGTTATTAATTAATATTCAATAATAAAAACTTACAATGTCTGGACGAATCGGTGGTGCAACCACTTGCTTGGAACGCTGAGAAGCTTGCTCGTACTGATCAAACATTGAGGTCATCTTAGCTACTAAATAAACCTATGTAAATCCAAATGCATACATATAATATTATATTATGCAATATATATATAAATTATATCAAAAAATAATGTGTAAAATCAAAATCTAGAAATTTAGTCTTAAAAATTAACCAGAGCTTAAAATATAAAGTAAAGTTCGAAAACAAGATGTAAATAAATATATTAATAATTATATTATGTTATAAATCTCTTATAATTTACATCTTATCTCTGATATAAAAAATAACAATATATAATTTCATTTACCTCAAATCTATTTCAAAAGTAAACAACACGAATATAAATTTATAATTTTTTTGTTTTTTTAGGAAAGTTTAATTGATCATTTTGCGCCATCGTTTCAAAGAGTATTATTTTCAAAAAAATATAAATAATATTTATACAAATAATCCTGAAATGCCATTGTCTAAAACTCTGCACAATTCGACAATACGAATATCAGATTTAATCAGATATCAGCTGATCGCTAAACATACGCATAACCAAGATTGACATTTCAGTTGATCGACAAGTTGATTGGCTGCCGACCAGAAATTCTCTAATTCTGATTGGCTATCGACTAGAGATTTTCTAATCCTTGATAACAATTTTTAGAAAAACTCTATATGTTATCCAATCTGTGTCAGATAAATATTTGTGTTTTTCATAAAAAAACTAATATAATTATAATATAAATAAATATAATAAATAAATAAATAATAATATAAATATAAATATAAATATAATAAATATAAAAATATAAATGTTTACATTCTAATTAATATTAAATATAGATATCTAATAATAGATAAAATATATATTAGATATATGTTATAATATTATAATTAAATATTATAATTAACAAATGTGTTTCCGCTAAGTGATAAAATAAAGGAAAACTAATTAATTTGCTTTTTATGGACGTATTAATAAATTATATACAAGTTTATTATTCATACTGTACAATCCATATTTTTTCATATTTTCTATTTACACTTTCCATTTGTGTAGAGAATAACAAGGTCACGCGAATCTCATTAATTTTTGTATGTAAAAATTAAAATCTGACTCCTGCCAAATTGTAAGATTCATAAGCAAACTCTTCATTGTGATATTCATCACACTCCAAACCAATATAATCTATTTCTAATTTGAAGTGTCCAGGAACGTCGTCTGATATCGAAATTCCAAAAGTTGCGACTTCACCCAGCATTATGGGCACTTGACCATCCTGCGTGCTGCCTTTACTGGAGAAGATAAATTTGGAGAATGGTATCCTAGTGTATTGCCAGTAAGGTCCTCCTCTGGTATGAAGGGCATAATGATACACGTCGTTCCACATCAAGTCGAATATGCCTCTGGTTGAAATGTTCAGCATGTAACACCTGCCGTCTCCTCTGACACGAAGAATTAGGTGAGTGTATGGCGTCCAATCGTGACGGACCTCGCGTTTGAAGGATTTTTCTTTAGGTACCGAGGTAATATTACAGTAGCCAGCATTTTTTACTCTACCGTCTTTGGGCAAACGAGTGCTTAATATGCCAGAAAATAGGCCGGTCCCAGTAGAAGACAATTCTAATCTAAAAAAGAAGCAAGATGACAAATTACTAATGTAAAATGAGTAAATTATACATATAATATAAATGTTATATATATATATTTATTAATAGTTAAAATATTTAATTATATATATTAAATGTATTATATATATTATATATATTAAATTATATAAATTATATATATTAAAATATTAATATATATATATATAATATTTATATATAAATAAGTATTATTAATACTTACTTAGCTGTTGAAAAGCCTTGCTCATAATCGCTGTCACAGGTGGTGACCCACTGATCCAAGGATTTTGGGTCCCCTTTGAATCGCCACACAACATCCACTTCATTCGTCCTGTATATAATAGTAGGATCCATTTTCATCAATTCCTTCCTCTCCTCCAGCCAGATACCGAACTCTTCCTTGAACTGCCGGCATCCTTCGCGAAATCTGCCTACAAGGCTCAAGTTTTGCTGCGGTGGTGGTCTATCATAAACTATTTTCCAGCCTGATCTTCGATCTCGTTCGTAGAAGGACGAGTGAGCAGTTATATGTAATTTCCTTCTCCGATCGTAAACACGTCAGTGTTTTCCGAAATATTTGCGTGGGATTCATATTCGCTCCTGAAACTCTCGTGTTACATGCAGAGGTTAAAAAGTTAGATCAGGTTGAATCACCGAATAATCTTTTCGAGTTATTTGCGATTCATTTGCCTTACAATATTTTTAATCGCGATTTTTGGACACACGGTGTCTGTTCGATATATAAATATTTTTATTTATATATTTACAAGGCCACGTTTAAAGAGACGCAGATTCTGCTTCACGCAGAAGCATCGCGGAAGAAAATCTGTTCTGCGCATGCGCAGATTTCAATTTCAGTAAAATAATTTCACAAAAAATACAAACATGCATGATAATCATATAATATTGCAAATATTATATATTATAAAATAAAATATAAAATATTATATTGTAAAATATATTTCTATAATATATATATTGAAAATTTATTACTCCAAAAGGATCATTCTTTACATAAATCTGTGTATCAAATACTAGACTGTGCAAAATTTATAGAAGAAATTTGAGTAATATATACTTTCTTTTTTTTTAAATTTTAAAAATAAGAACATTATTATTTTAACCTCTGTACAGATATAATAATACAAAGTAATACATATCACATAATGCAAACAATAAATTCTTACATAATTTACATTGTATATATAATATATTGATGCTGTACAGTCTAGTTTTAAGGAGTCTGAGTTCTCTTCTTTCTCGTTAATAATTTATACGTATCTTTTGACAACAGATAACTAACACCTCCTGCAATAGTCGTGAATGCTGTTATGTAACAGAGATATTGTAAAACTGGATGGTCTACGAAGTGATAAATAGGAGCAGCCAGTGTTCCAGCAACCAGAATCAATTGCACTCCGGTATTCAGCTTGCTCGTTAAGGTTGGTGCTAATTGTACAGTAGCGTGTGTGGGATCAAAATACCTTGCCAAGGTTTTCTGAAATTATAAAGATCATGTTTAATTCATTGAGCTAAATAAATGTATAATGGAATTAATAGGTATATATAGTACACATACCGGTGGAGGCAGGGAGCGATATCTAATGTAAGATGCAGCAGTCACCAAAGCAACATCACGTGAGACAACAAGACAAGTAAGTGGAACAGGTATCAGACCGACCCATGCTAAAGAGAGAAATAACGTGCCCACGAGTAACTTGTCTGCCACTGGATCCAAAAAGCTTCCAAGTTTAGAAGCCTGCGATGTCCAAGTACGTGCAATCCATCCATCTGCTAAATCACTGACTCCTGCAAATGCAAGCAGCCATAGCGCTATCTATGCCATGGCAGAAAAATAGTTTTAAATATAACTATTATAATATGATAGAGAACAATTATAGATGCTAGCAAAATTCAATTGCAAAGGAATTATAGTTGACACATTTTTCTATTTTAATTATAGAAAAAAATTTTAAATAAAATCTAAATAAAATCCATTTAATAGTTAACAAATTAGAAATTGAATTTCACGCTATGTTGCAATATATTTGTGTTTAACTTAATATTGCATGATGATGAGATAAATTTTAGCAATAATATCTTTGTCAAAATATTGAATCGCACCTGGTAATCTTGCGATAAGATCAAATAACTTAAAAATGGCGATGTCACTATACGACCCATACAAAGCAAATTGGGTATCGTCCAGATATTTTCTTTTTCAATGATTTCTTCTACTTTTCTTCTCGTATGTTTAATATCCTGCAAAATACGTGTTCGCCATGTTTTCCTTTGAATTGCTCGGTCTTTTGTATTGATACAATGTCTGTAACGGTTTTTACTTTCTACGACGTAGAGTCTGCTTTGACACATTAGATATTGCCTCAGACATTGCTCTATTAGACCTCTGTTTAAAATTGCAGATCTTTGTTTAAGTTGCAAAATAGTGAAGCAGTTCATCATTATGTTTTCTCCTATTTGATAAACAGAATAAAAACTAAAATTATTGAATGTTTTTACATTAAAGCAATATGATAATAATTTAATATAAAAATATTTCTCAAGAGAATTGGCAGAAAGTGAATAAATTATTCTCATAAATTTCAAGTTGAATCATTTTTTTAATAAATATTTAATTGTCAAAGATAAAAAGTGCTTCAAATTTCGAGCAAATTTTATTTCAAGAAAATTTGACAGCATCGATATAATCGAAAATTGTAGCTTAATTATATTAAAATATTGAGAATATAATTAAAATTTCGTAATTTGTGATAAAATGACTATATAACCTCAACTTCGACATTCCGAGGAAATATTCACTTTCGTCTGAATAAAGTAAAATAATGCGCACATTTTCTGCTAAATCTGGGATGAAAAATCTTGTAAAAAAATTACCTTAAACGTAAATTACTTTACACATATATTTACAAGAGTATTCCTTTCGCGAGCGTAAGTGGCGGCTCTTTTTCTAGGTTAGATTCGGGAAAACGTAGTGCGAGAGTACGAAGTCCACACATCGTACAGTTCTCCAAACATGAATGAACAGTCGCAACTGCGCATATGATGAGAAGGAAGAAGCACCATCTCTTCCGAAAGTGTCAATACAAGCGGCGACATTTATATTCGGTCGCCTCCGAACGAAAATCATCATTTGACAATTAATTACTCGACAAATTCTACGGTAAGATGAAACGTCAAATTTGACAGCTGTCAGATTCGATAATCCTCGCTAAGGTCAAATCAACAGGAAATATTCCAAAGCTTTTCCGAGGAAGAAAGAGAGGGAGAGAGAGAAAGAGAGAGAGAGAGAGGAGTCTTCCTTCTCCCGCAGCGCGCCGCGCCGCCAGTGACAGGTGTCAGCTGACAGTAGTGACGTAACTGCGCCTGAGCGAGGCGGGCGGAGCGCGCATGCGTGTACGACGGGTCTCGGTGCGGCAGGCGCACGTCGTCGCGTCGGTCCGAGCAACAGAGTGCTGTGTGTACACCCCCGCCCACGTATTATTGTGCGGCTAGCTGACGAAGCCAGCCAGCCACGCTTCTGTCACGGGAGGACGCCCGGCGACAGCCGAGGCGAATGATGCGTCTCGTTATTCCGGTGCGAGAGGCAACCCCGGCCGCGCCGCCGAGAGCCGAACGTTAAGGAAGGATCTTAACGCGACACCGCGGTCGAGCATGATTCTGGCTGGATCAGACCACTTCTTGGCGGGTAAGTCCACTATGTCCGCTCGGACTTAAGTGTCATCCTGCTGCGCGACGAGTCTCGGAGTAGCCGAGAACGCCTGGTCTGGAGGGTCGCTCGAGGGAGCGTCCTCGAGACGAGGACGGTATAAATCGTGAGAATTTAAATTTAAAAAAGAAAGATAGAGAAAATCCCATTTTCCCTTCGCGCTCGCCTTCTCCTCTTTTCCCTATTTTTATTAGGGCGTTGAAAGGCAGATACGTCAATTGGGAGTCCGTATTAATAGCCGCGAGCGAAATTGCCTTCGACATTGATTTTCGAGATGGGAGAAAAATATCCAGGGGAAAGAGATGAAGTTTCGAATGATCGAGAATCCTCCGCATTGCGCAAGCGGATTCTCCGATTTTCCGAGAAACGGGCTGACGATTGTCGGAACGAGGATTCCGCGAATTTCCGGAGTCAAAATGGTCGAGGAAGGGCGCGTTGAAAAATTCATTGGAATTCAGTCGCGATTTTTCCAGGAAAAGGTGGGAGGATATCCGAGACGTGGACTTTTTTTATTGTTACGATCGACTGCGTTAAACGTGCGTGCGACGCTGCGCAATTCCATGTCGCAGGTAGTTTGTGTCAACTGGAGCGATAATAAATTATTCCAGGTCATTACGGCGTAATATGTCGACGTCGCGTTAACGCGCTCGATACGACAACCGATATGATACACCGGTACCTATATACATTAGCCTCGGGGTTGAAATTTTAAGTGAAAAAAAAAATTAAAATATATATTATAACACATTAGGTAGAAGAAGATATCTTTTGACTCTTTAGAATTAATTTTCTGAGAGAGAGACTTTTAAGACCCACAAAAAAGAAATTTTTTTTTCTTATCCTTCTTTATTTATTTTTCATTATTATGTACACAGAATGTATATGATGATTCTCAATTGTATACAATGACTAGAAGGATTTTATACGCTACGTATGGCTGAATATCAGGATTGGGTAATAATTTAACTAGTTAAATAGTTAAAAGTTAAAAAATTAATAACTTTTAACTTAGCGTAGTTAATTTAAAATGTATTAATTTTTTTTTCTAATAAGTTTAATTTGTTTTATCTCTGAATATCATAATTGTTTTTTATAAGTTATAAACGTATTGTTTTAATTAAAGTATTATTAATTTTTATGTTTATTTGTCATCAGTTATAATTATCAAAAGATATATTTCTATATAAAAATCAAAATTTCTTTGTTATTATAAATTTTAGAAGAATCTAATTTAATATAAATAATGTTTTTAAAAATTTACTTTTGATGTAACTTCAGTTAATTTAATCTTAACTTTAACCGAGTTAATTTTTTGTTCATGCAACTTATTTTATAACCAACTAACTTTAACTCAACTTAGTTTTAAAAAATCATTAACTTACCCAACCCTGCTGAATATTTACAGCGGTAAAAATTAAAAGTTTCATAAAAATTAATAAAAAAATTATAAAAATAAAAATATTATACTTTTAATTATAATTTTAATATTGTTCTGGATTTTTTTATATATACAATTATTTAAAAAATTCACATGTATAATAAAAGGGAGAGAAAAGAGGGAGAAAAAGAGGGATCTACAAAATTACTCTGTTGCATGAATCATAATAAATTTAATAATATTTAATAATATATTTTTTAATAATATTTCTGAATAATTAAAATATTTTTCTATATATATTATATAAAATATTTTTGAATAATATTAAATCTAATAATATTTCTTGGGGATGTTTCAGTACCTGTGGAAGCGACTGCAGTTCTGGGTGCCGTTGCCGGTTTCGTAGTACTACTGCTGGCCCTTTTCCTCTACTTATCCCGGAAGTGGTGCTTCACGCCGCCATCCTCCACGGCGCTCTTCGGCGGAGTCTGTGTACCCCTCTGTGAGTCCACCAACAGCTCCACATCTCAAATCTCGAAAAACATAGGTATATGATTTATATCGATCTCCCCGTTCCGGTCCCTTCTTGCAAATTTTCATCCCTTTCTAAATTTTCGATTTTATTTGAATTTTATTCTCTCTCTCTCTCTCCTCTTGCGAGATTATGAGTTTATTTTAAATTTCCTAAATAAATTTTAAGATTGAAAGACGGATGGATGGATCCATAAATCATTCATTGCATCGAATAATTGCTAAATTTTTGAAAGAAATGCTCGGTTCTTTGCGCAGCGAAGAATAAACATAAGAAATAATTCCTAATAATCGATATATCTGCTTCCTAGGGAAGACATTCTCCTATACAGATCCGGAAACCAGTTCCGATTCGGAGGAAGACGCTCTCCGACGATTAAATTTGCGTTCACATCCTCCACCGGACACGTTAACTATTCAAGCAGAAGATGGACCAACAACTATCGTAGGTCAGTAAATAACAATAAAGTAGAATTGTAAGAATAAGCAATAATTAATATTGATAACATGCGCATATAAGTAAGAAAATTAAAAATTAAGAAAATAAAACTAATTAAAAATATATTCAAAATATATAAATCAACAATAATTAAGGAAATTAGTATATATATATATATATATATAATAGTATTTATTCAAATGAATTTTCTTAATAATCGTGATTTGTAGATGCTGGGACCACTTCCAGTAGCTGCACCGAGGAACACTCTCCAACGGATCAGCAGCAGGTGAATTCTTGATTTTGTTTATAGAAAAATTAAGAAAAATTGCTCCAAGCGAATCAAGATGCAATACATGTATTTCTTTCTCGCTTTTTTTCATATCTTCAGTGCGTAGTAGAAGTTGGGGCGTCTAACATTATACTCGACAATAGAGAGCAGGAGATAGAAGTCGAGCAAAATGAATCGACGACCAACGATGCCATCACAACAATGGGGACGATGGCTGCCGAGGAAGTTGGTAGTCTGGAAGTCGCTTTCATGTACGATGCCCCAATGCGCGAGATGACAGTTCGTATAATTATATCCAATATTTTATTATTTCGAATTTATATTTATCTTTATTATTTCTATTATAATTATATTTTCTTGTATCTTTTTTAAAACAAACGTCAATCTTAAATTATAACTTGATATTAGTTGATTACCATTTCGACTGTTATCATTTATTTATTTACACATTTACTTAAAAAACTTAATCAGGAATGAAAATGTTATTTCCTAATTTTTCTAAGTTTTAAAAGCATTTAAAATTCTCTTATTCTTGTTATATTATGATTATATTATTGTTATGATTATATTATTATATTATTGTTATATTCTCTTATTCTTGTTATATTATTTTCTATCTTGTTATATTATATTATGAATATTGCGCGACAATTGAAATACAATTGTTTTGCTAGGTTCACGTGTTACAAGGACGAAATTATCCCCCCGGCATCGGCGGCAGCCAGGTACGATTAGTCTTGCTGCCATCAAAGAAGCAAAGACGCAAGACTCGAGTTCGGCAAGGGACATCGCCGCAATACATGGAGAGCTTTTTACTTCCTCGCGTAAATCCAGAAGACGTGAACGCAATGGGAGTGCGGCTAAGGGTATACCTTTGGGGTGGTAGAATGATGCGTCGGGAGAGATTGTTGGGCGAGGCCAGGGTATCCTTTGATCAGATTAATCTTCAGCTGGAAACTACTCTTTGGTTGACTCTTCAACCGCCGCTTTCTTCTTCGGTAAGTCCATTTTAAAATCTCTTTCAATTATAATATAGATATAGATATTGTGAATTCATGCTCAGGATACAGTTGAGATACTTTTCTGTAGTAAACTTGAAGGAAATTAATTTCTTAAAATTATCGAGAAAATAATTGTATTCGAATAAGGAGGTTCATTGTTTATTTCCAGGCGCAGGATTGGGGAACCACCAGCAGTCTAACTCGTAGCGATTCCACGGGATCCCAGCAGTCTGTTCAGTCCTATGCCTCCACAGCTATACCGCCTTATGGCAGCAGTATGAAAGGTGGCAGCGTCGCCGAAATTTTAATCGGTCTGGCGTATAATGGCACGACCGGCCGCTTATCGGTGGAGATAATCAAAGGCTCCCATTTCCGCGGCGGAGGCGGAAACGACACGAAACCACCCGACACCTACGTGAAATTGGCTCTTGTCGACAGCAACAACCACGAGATGGGCCGGTCGAAAACTGGTCTAAAGCGCGCCCAGCCGAATCCCCTCTACAAGGAAACTTTTATATTTCAGGTAATTTTCTGAGAAAATTCTCTGCCTGTCTCCTCGACGACCATGTTGAAATTGTGACGTCAGAGGCATCTAAGAATTTTTAGCCTCTGACGTCACAATCCAACATAGCCGCGGCGAGGATTTAGGAGCCTTAATATCTAATTATATCCTTAAAATATGGAATTTTTTTTGTGAACATAGGTCGCGTTGTTCCAATTGGGAGACGTGACGCTCTTCCTATCCATTTACAATCGTCGGCGGAGCGGAATGGGTAGAAAGGGACGAGAGATGATCGGCTGGCTTTCGATGGGTCTGAACAGCTCCGGATCCGAGGAGCTGCAGCACTGGAACGACATGCGGACGGCTAGGCAACCGACGCAAGTACAACGCTGGCACTCGCTGTTGCGTCCTTGAGGCATTCTCGAGTGAGTGCCTCCTTTTGGATTCATTCTCGACGCAGCCATTCGAGCGCGAAATCGATTTCACCGATACTTGCCGCGACAAGTATGGGAAACGGAGATGCGCATTTCTGAGAAAGAATAACTGCTCGTGGCTTTATCTCGAAGGAGATTTCTCTTTCCTCTTATCTCGCGCGGAGACACACATGTTGTGTACTGCCTGGTTGAAATAACGGAAGTCAATATTCCAGTCGGTCTGTCAATCATAAGTCAGAGCCCAAACAACGCAACTGTCCAAATGACATCGCGTAAAGATGCTCCAGTGTTGTATGTCTATTAAATAAAAATCACAAATGGCGACAAAGACCAAAGGATGTCTGAATAGATGTTCTTTAGACATCTGTTAGAGACAAGTTACACAAATATCTATAAATGGCATCTTAAGTAACACGTATTAAAAAGAAAGAGATGCTTTAATTGTCACTTAAATTTTAGACATCTTTTCAAAGTTGTTTGGGCTTTTGTTTTGTTCGGGATGCTGTTTGGAATGCTGTAAACTCTGAGTTACAAACTCTTTGTCTAAATGTACCAAGTACATTTCCTTTTTGATACGCTGATGGGAGCGGTGCGATTTATTAATCTTCGATGTCGAGGATCCCGGATGATCACGTGACGATATCGACACCTCCGGGCCTCATCGTGCCTGTCCTGTCACGTGCTACGACGCTCTCCGACTCGACATGTGCCTGAGCCAATCTGGATCGTCTTTATTTTTTACTTTGTGCCTTTCACCCTCTTTAGGCCGCGTGCCACGCTAAATGGAGAATTGTCGTAAAGTGTAAGCGAAATTTGAGCGGCCGAGCGGAATGAGATGTAACTATTTGTGTATTTTCATTTCGAAAATACACAAATAGTTATATCTTTTGACTTCATAGTATTGTAAGACATAGGGTGGTCATGCAACACAGAAAGAAAGAACTTTCCAATAAGTTTGGAAATATTTCAAGAGCGAGAAAAACTCTCGTGGAAATATTTTGGAGAGACTCGAAGTTTCAGGAGAAGCAAAAAGTTCCCTTGTAATTTTATAAAATATTCCTAAAAACTCGCATTAAAGAGAGAGCCTAACAAAAGTTACATAAATCTTTAGAGATTCGATAGAAAAGTAATATTTCATTCCTAAAAATTTCTGATTTGATGAATTTGAGAATTTAGAGATTTGATGAATTTATATAGAAACGAATGATTTGTGTGTCCACCCTGAAATTGGATAACATCGACACAGTGAATTTATTATTATATTATGCTTATTGTTTTTATAGAGTAACGAAATTGTTGAGACACATCTTCCTTGTTTTTTTTCCAAGCAATTTAGTTTCTTTAGCAAATACTAGTAAATTAATATCGATAATAAGCACTTTTAATGAATTTGAGAATATCACTTTTTTTCTTAGAACTTGTTTATGCTATTTTAATTTTTTACATTAAAAAATATCAAGTTTCGCTCTCTTTATTTCTCTGCTGCAAGTTTAAATGTTTCTCAAAATAAACTACAATTATTAATATTATAGAATGTAAACTTCTAAAAATTATTAATTATTATTATTCTATAAGTTCGCACAATCAAGTTTTCAAAAGTAGTTCTTGCTTGTCAAAAATACATTTTCTCTCTTCTGATTTATATTTTTTGTGATTCTCAATGAATACGTTGCTCATTATAGCTGTACATACATATATTTCAGTAATACTTGTTGTTTATCAAATCATAAATCACCGCTGTATTACTGTATCAGTGTGTCGATATTACCCGTCTTACGGTATATAATTGTATGTATTGTACATACATTCGACGGATATTCGATTTGCTTGTGTTTGCTCATATGAATCGATATGACAAATACTGAGCCCGTGTTCTCCCCGTGCATTTAACATTGAGAGATTATTAGCTATTAGATTTCTACCTAGTATCGATAATATGATACTCAGTCTTACTATCACAACTTAAACATACCTGAATGAAACGTACACGCTTAGTAATATATATATATATATATATATATATATATATATATATATATATATATATGTAACTGTAAAGGGAATGACAAGAGAGAGATCAGTCTAGTCTAGTGCCAAGATTTGTCACAAAAATAGGAAGCTAGTACGTGGAAAGGACGTTGTTACTAAGAGAGAACTAACGATTTATTGCTGTGTAATAAATTAATAATTAATATATCTAACAATAATGTTAAGCTAAACCATCTCGAGATCATTGAGATGCTCAATATTATAATCAACATTGTCTTGCAAAATTTAAATGGCAACCGCATTTTTCATCTGTCAAAACCGCTTATAAACCGCTGTACTTATATGCAGTTACATTTATTTGTGCGCAATTTTTATTAATCTCCAATTAATTTATAATTAATCACCAATCTTCTAACTTTAAAAGATCTTTCAAACGCTATTTTACGTTTCGTTCAGGTATGCCTGGAAAAAAAAGGGGAAAAAGATTAGACTTAGCGGACGAATTTTAGAGCGGCAGAGATTATGGCGGTAAGATGAAATGAAGAACACGGGCATCTCTCGAGATGGTTCGAGAATGGATTGATGATTTTAGGGAGACTTCGAATCGAAGTGGAATAAAATCGCGGGACGAGCAAATCCACAATTCAACGACGCACAATGACTCGCAAAACGCACTCCGTGAACGCAGATGTGTTTGGAGAGTCGATATAATAATTAATATAAATGAAATAGAAACATAAACACGAGATCATGCATACACGTTAGATCATGTAGTCACGTGGTATATAAAATATGCATTATTATTAGAATTTTTGAGCAAGGGGGTTTTCTCACCATACTAAAGTTATATTAGAGAACACGCAGAAGTAGAGATGATACGACTTAAAAATGGATTTAATGTCCACGTTAGATATCATAAAATTCATTTGATATAAAGAGAGATATATGATACAGAAACAATTATCAATATTGAATATTTTAATAATTAAGTATTATATATTAGTCTTTTTTTAAGTAAAATTTACTGTTAAAATTAAAGAGCAAAGATTTATCTATTCGCGTTTGAAAAGTTTAATTTATGAAAGAGTTATTTCTGTAATATAATAATTAACGATACGTTATATCAAATTAGTTTATTTCCATTGATATATATTATTAACTTTATAAAAATTATTTATTTGTTCTCTATAGAAAATCACATTTCCTTTATTACCTGAGCACGATTTTTAGATCATTTAAATTTAATATTAGTAATAAAAATGCGTACACACAAACATATACATATATACACGTACATTGATAGTGTGGAAGGTGGGTTTAGACCAAACAATCGTTAGGGGACCCCCCAGATCAGCGGATAAAACCAGCCACTGATTATAACGGACAAACAGATGCTGTGAATTATTTAACGCTTGACTTTTTCAAGCCTTTAGTGGTAAATTTTCATCATGGTTATTAATCCATGCTCGAACTATTTTGTCTCATTTACGTTTTAGAAATAAAAAATGATTGCCGGGACTCAGAAATCTCCTTTAAGACACGAAGAGAATTTCCTTATGCGCGCAGTACGAATTCCTTTTGTGTATACGCATTTATATGTATTGCAAATAAGAGTTTAGAATATTCTAAGCATACAAAGTCCTAGATGCAGTGAAAATCATCTCATTTATAAACTCTTTTCGCAGCTTAAACTGGATTTTTTTCTTCTAAGAGGATATATATACGCGTTATTATTCACATTTTCGATTTTAATCGCCACTGGATATGTTATAATGAGAGAAAATTATAAGGGATTTTTATACTCTTATAATTATTCCAATTGTACTTATACGAGGTGTAAAAAAACTATATCTGTGAGCTAATAGAATCGATTAAAACGGATTCTAAAACACATTTAGGATATAAGTGTGATAAGTTTTTTTAGCTGCATTATGTGTTAATTGATATTGTTATAGTACTTCTGAGTCCTAGCGATATTATTGTATATCTTAATGCACAGTCTGTTTATAAACAGCACGATGCTGAAGAGAGGAGAGAAACGTTTAAATATGTAAATTAATCAATGCGATGTAGTATTAATATCTCTCGATTGTAAGATTATTACTGAACAACATTTGTTTTACACAAGATACAAACTGGATTTGAGAAAGTTTCAAGATTTCTAATCATATTATGTGAATAATATATATGTTGAATTTTAGCGGGTAGTTTTTCAGGATAACTTTTAGGCCTTTTAACTCTTTGAATCTGATGTAATGTAATTGTGATAACGTTAATCTTACAACAGCGTTTTCTAGTGTTTTGCGTGATAAGTCGATAATATTGGATTTATGTAGGGAGTGATCGGACCACCATTATACATTTTTAATTTTAGAACACCGCATTATGGGATTATACGATCCCTAGCTGAAGAGAATGCGGTGAAATCACGAATTTTTCTTTTTAGAAAAAAGTGATGTTACGTGCATTTAACATTCCTATTAATTGATAGACGCTTGTAGTATCGAGACGATAAGAAAGCTGAGAGATCTCAAGCTTCAACATATGGATTTGTTACATTCCAGAGACACCTTTGTGAGAATAAGAGAGTGCGACAATTTTTAGATTAGAAAATGATTACTTGTTAAATCGTTATGTCATTTGAATCATTGTATTTTTGTCAATTTGCCCAAAAAAATCGCGAAATACGAGATCGAATGATGAAAAAGATACCAGATCGCGAAGATTATAAACAGACTATAATATTGGATTTTGATCTATATTTTATCTACAGCACCCGTTTCTCGATAAACATTAATTCAAGTTTGAATGTCTACTGCACAAACTAATTATCTTAATCAATGTTATTACGCGTACTTATAAATTAACAATAATTATTACATCTCCATCGCGTTTTATAAAAATGTATTCTAATATATAATTAAATCAATAAACTTACGAATAGTTATTATCGCAATCGGAACATATCTCAAGTCAAACTTTATTCCAGTCCATATATTTCCAATAATTCTTTCTTTTTTCGAAGCAATAGCGCTTCCTGAATATCTTGCTGAGAAGGAATTGGTTTCTGCGCCGTTGTTTCAACCTCGGCTTCTGGTTCCTTCTCACGGGAGGTCCATTCCTTAATGTATTTTTCTCTCGCTTCTTGTTCTGCTTTTTGTTCTAATGGTACCAGAATACCGTCATCGTCATCCATGTAACCATAATAGTCCGCATCGATGTCCTTCATCAATTCTGCACGTGTTTTTCGAGGGGGTGGTGGTGGTTCTTGCTCGAATAACTCCCTAACACCTGGCAGCTCTTTGGCAGCTCCAAAATATTTGTACCCTCGATTACCAGGAACCTGTTTATTTAATCAAGACAATTATTAGAATTTATCATATATGTAGAGTGCATCTAAACATTTTTCTGTATAATTTTACAAATATAAGCATCTTATATTAAATATAGGAAATATATATACATATATGTATAGTGCATCCAAAAATTATCCAGCATAATGTATATTGATTCCAGTGTTGGGTAGTATCTAGATACATTTTGTGTATCTGAGTCTGTATCTAAGATATATTCGAATTGAAGTATCTATATCTGTATCTAGATACAAAACATGGTATCTGAACTGCTTTTTTCAGATACATTTGCAGATACATTTTCACATATTTTTTTGAATACTTCAATTCTTTAAATTATTAAAAAATCAAAACTGCAAGTTATCAACATAACGTCATCAACACCGGTTGAGCTATTATTAAGCATTGGTCAAATTTTTTAGTACCGTGATGAAATAATTTGAGTGACGATATCTTTGAGGCATTTTTCACGTGTTAAGACTAACAAATAAAGTCGTAATATAAACAGAAATATTAATAAAGATAAAAGAATTATTCAGTACATTTTGTGCATATTACCATTATAACTGAGATATTTTTAAAGTATCTGAGTATCTGTATCTATATACATTTTAATTTGTGTATCTATATCTGTATCTAGATATATTTTTTTACACGTATCTGTATCTGTATCGAGATACATTTTAAATGTATCTTACCCATCACTGATTGATTCAATTGCACTCCTTGTAATTAATATTTGAAAAGCTTTTGACATTCTTCGATATGGTTGGAAGTAACATTAATAATGTAACTACAATTTTACCTCACGTCCTTCATGATCTAACATGCGAGGCCCAACTCTGGAATAGTCAGGTCCACCAAGCTCTTTTATTTGCGCTTCCCAATGCCGCTTTTCTCTAAGCAATTTGTTAATTTCATCATTCAGATCACGAATACGAAATTCGCCAAGCCCAGCATTTTGAATTTGTGCAACTTTCTTCGCAATTTCCCGAATTATCTGCATTCTCCATTTTTCTGCTTTGCGCAAATCCCTACATTCTGAAGCTAGGTATGGCCTTCGCTCCTGTTCCTTCTTTGCTCCTTCGTTGTTTTGTGCTGCTCTCCAACGAGCAAGTGTTGTCCTGAAGATTAATTATTGATATTAGTAATTATGATTAATATAATTACTATTATAATTAATAAAGAAGTAGATTATTAATTAGTTCAATTAAATCTATTAAAGATATACTTACATAGCCTTTTCTGCATTTCGTGCCTGAAAAGAATAAAATTTATTTATTAATTAAAATTAAAGTAATATATTAATATTTAATGAAACTAATATTTAATATTTATGAATTTATATATATATATATATATATATATATATATATATATATATATATATATATATATATATAATATATATATATATATATATATATATATGTATGTATACTTACCATTTTTAATTATCATGTAATAATTATTCACAATACTATTATCGATCTTATTATACAATATTTTGAATAAACTGATCGTACTGATGTTACTTATTTACAATATTATAGTATAAAACAATAGATTTTATATATCAAAACACACACACATTTTTAGCATCGTATGATCTGTTTACAAAATAATTGAACAAGATAATTGTATAAAATATATTTTTAAAATATATTACGTAATGACATATTCCTCATTTTCAATCATTACGTTCAATTGTTGTGTTTTGTAGGTTTCTTATATTATTTTTTGAAGCATTTGTTATAATTCTGTCATTTTTTGGTTATATACAACACTAAACGAGGTTATATTGCGACTCTGCGCGCGCATGCGAGGTATCGAGAGATCGAGATATCGAGGTATCGAACGTCGCGCGCATCCGCGTCGTTTTCGCGCCAAAAGCACCGTGAGGTTGCTGCACAGTACAGTCATGTTATTCATCATTTATATATATATATATATATATATATATATATATATATATATATATATTAATATTATATATTAATAAGAAGAATAAACTGGTGTAAAGAAAACACATAGTTGATTTTAAGAAAAAATATATATGTATTGTAAATTACATATCTTTTTGCCCATCATTTATAAGAAATATTATTACACATAATAATATTATAGCGTTTCTCCATTTTCGAATTTCTATTATGTACATAATATTATATCTTAAATTTTTATTATGTACATAATTTTTATTTCCGAATATCATTTATTATTAATATATATATATATATCATTTATTATTAATATATATATATATATATATATATATATATATTATTAATATATATATATATATATATATATATATATATATATATATATATATATTAATAATAAATGATATTCGGAAATAAAAATTATGTACATAATAAAAATTTAAGATATAATATTATGTACATAATAGAAATTCGAAAATTAAAATTATGCACATAAGTAATAGAAATTTGATGAAATAAAGTTATGTACGTGATATAAATTTGGAGAATTATAATTCTGTATACATAATAGAAATTCGACAAATTAAAATTATGAACATAATAAAAATTTAAGAATAAAAATTGTATACATAATAAAAATGCGGAATTTAAAATTATGTACATAATGTGGAAATTAAAATTATCATTGAGTCTATTTCTAGTTCAGCTAGTTTGGCGCCACTTTGTTTGGATTTTTTAATCCTATTTTAAGAATTTATTAAAAATAATTAGCTGTCATTTCAAATGGATCTTACTTAAAACAACGATGTAAAAATTTAAGATTGAAGTTTATGTTTTCTTTTAATGACTTTAATGTGTGTGTGTGTGTGTGTGCATTTGATTATATTTTTTTATTACATACTTTTTTATTTTCGAAGGTCTTGTCTTAATACTTTTATGCACAAAATAATAAGAAGAATAAACTGGTGTAAAGAAAACACATAGTTGATTTTAAGAAAAAATATATATGTATTGTAAATTACATATCTTTTTGCCCATCATTTATAAGAAATATTATTACACATAATAATATTATAGCGTTTCTCCATTAATAGCTGCTGCCACTTTTTCATTTCGCAAAATCGTCACGTGATTACCTGTGATGGAATGTATTTCTACTTTGTTTTGAGTTATCTAAAATATATATATTTCGTTAAAAATAAATTTTGTTAAACTTAATTTATTAAATATAGTTAATCTAAATAAAATTTTTTCTTACAATACCTTGTGCAAACCATAATCGTCTTCGATCTCAAATGCATACGAAGATGTTGGTTTCAACAATATTACCGGTGATTGTATTGGGGATAAAGTAAAAGGATTATAATATCGTCGAATTGCGACGGAATGTTTGTACACCGTAATGCACAATGTTTTTAAATTTATAGGTGAAAGTAATGTATTTATTGCTAAAAGTGTTTGGCAAAAATATCAAATCGCTCTTCCCAAGTTTTACATTCCTTTAATTCCATCAGAACCTGTCAAATTTATATATATATATATATATATATATATATATATATATTCTGTTTTTAAATCATTTTTAAAAAATGTAAAAATTTCTATTCCGATACAACTGTATTTAAATAACTGTTGACTTATAAAGAACGTATGACAAAATGAAGGTAATGTAAGAAACATAAGATGTTTCACATAAATGAAACTGAGAGCTACTTTTATCATTGTCCCGATTGATATAATCGTTGATTCATTTACAGAATAAACAACAAAAATTTCAAAATTAGTATTATATACGAAATTATATGCATATATGAAAATTGTTTTGTTAGAAATTTCGATGAATTGGTTGTTACATAAGTTAATTAACGATTAAGTTAATTAGAGTTTGATGGAAATCATTTTCATATATAATGTTTGTGTGTAACAATAATAAAAAACACTTTCATTTATATTAGAAAAACATTATAGATTATACCTTCTCATCGATTTTCACATTGTAAACTTTCATAATAAAGATCAAAACATCAATTTTCAATTCTTCATTGATAGAACTTGGAAAACAAAGTTTATTTAATATTCGCACTTGTTCAGGACCACCATCGATGAGAACAAGTCGTCCTTTAAAATTCATAACTTCCAATCTTCTTGCTAATTCAATTGCGATAATAGATCCAAAAGAATATCCCACCAATACAAAATATTTTCCATCTTTTAATCTTGATACTACGTGCTATAAAAATTATTCACGATGAACTTTATATCTAATTATATTAAAAAAATTATACATGCTACAATTTATAAAACACATATTTTTAGTGTATAAAATTAAGAATACAATAACGATACCTTTATAAGACAATCGGTCGTTTCCGATATTGTGTTTACAGCGTCAATATTGTTTGTGGTACACTGCAAGAATGTCATTGAGAATTTAATCTTTGATGCTAAATAATTATATGCACTTGCACAACCATCGATTCCCGGTATAAGAAATACTTGAACTGTCTTTTCCTCTTCTTTAGCTGGAAAATCTAAACAGACCTGTGTCGTAAAATCTTCGTCCTTTAAGAAACCGAATAATTTCAGAAGATTCGATTCCTTTGTGTCGATTGATTGTTTAGCATGCGTATTAGTGCTCGACATTTTGACGAGTTTTGCAAAAGTAAGATTTTGTATTTCTTGTATAGACAAAAAGATATCGAACTCTCGTTCTAAAGTTTGCTTGAGTTCCACATTCATCATAGAATCCATTCCAAGCTCGGACAGAGATGTATTTTGACTGATCTTCTTCAAGTCTTTTACATCTATTAATATAAAGGAAAGTTACAGTAAAGATTAATTATATACTTTATATGAGAAATAATTTAACAATGCGAATACTTACTCAGAATATTAGCGACAGTTTCCACCATATTGTCAAGTCCGAAAGATCCTGCTTTTTTCTCGGCAACGACTATGCTGCTAACAACTGGTCGGCTTTGAAGTAAAAATTTGTCGAGCTCCTCAAGACAACTGGATATCTTTTGCTGTAAAGTGCTACCAATAACGAGTTCTTTATCTTCTTCTTGCATATCAGCAACAAGCCCCACATCACCTACAGCTCCCCACTGAATCGCCAGTCCGGGTAATCCATCCTTCACCCTCTTCTCACACACTCTCTCCATGACAGAATTGGCCATGCCGTAATTAATTTGTCCAAGGTTTCCTCTGCCGCAAGAAACGGAAGAAAACATTACAAAATGCTGTAAATTAGGACAAATTTTCCTGGACTGTTCGTCTAACATTTGCGTCGCCCAAGCTTTCGATTTAAAAGACTCCACAAAAGTATCCGCAGTTTGATTCTTCAGAACATTATCCTTCAAGACCACAGCCAGATTGAATATCGCATCTACCGGTGCTTCTTTTTCCGCCATTTGCAAGAGATATTTGATATCTTCACGACTGGCGATATTTATATTTTTGATGATAAGAATATTTACACCGTAGGATTTCCACAAATTAACTTTGATGCGCTGATAACCATTTTTGATTCCAGTTCGCGAAACTAATACGACATTCTTGGCACCTCGCATTATTAGCCAGTCGGTTAACTCCAAACCAAATCCACCAAGGCCTCCTATTATAATGTAGCTTTTATTGCTAAGACAATAAAAATGACGACGTGCGAGAGAAAATGCTTTAGAAGGTAAATTTTCTTCTTGAATCTTTAAAATTATCTAAAAAAATTAAATATATATTAAAAACGTTGCAATTTTAAAAATGATACATATATTATTATTTCTAAGAACCGTGAACTGGGTTATATTATCAGTTTTTTCAAGTTACACTAGTATACCTTTCCAATATGTTTCCCACTCGCCATGTATCTAAACGCTGCTTCGATTTCTGTCTTTGAAAAAACGTTCACCTGAAGTGGTTTAATGGCTCCATTTCTTAGGCCGTCAGCCATTATTTTGGACAATAGGGATTTATCCTTGTAAGGACCGACAAACATATTTTCTAATAGAATTGCGTAAAAGCTAATGCCTTTTCGAAGAAGATTCATATCGAAAGGATTGTTAGAAATAAGATCAAACTTGCCAATCTCCAGAAAACGACCGCTTCGTGCTAAACAACGAATAGACGCGATTAGCTTTTCTTCCGCCAATGAATTTAACACGATATCCACGCCGCGATTGTTTGTTTGCGACATTATCATTTGTTCGAAACTAGTATCACGAGAATTTCCAATGTGCTCATCTTTAATAGTCGGAAATGTTTTCTTAATAAATTCTCTCTTTTCAATTGTCCCTACGGTAGTGAACACCTCGCATCCCTCTCGTAGAGCAAGGTGAATAGCTGCTTGTCCAATGCCTCCAGTTCCGGAATGTATTAGTACTTTATCGCCTTTCTTCATCTTCCCACGAATGTATAAAGCACAGTAACATGTAATATAAACGCAAGGAACTGTAGCTGCCTCTTCTAACGTCCATGTATCAGGTATGTTCCAACATAAATCCTTGTCTTTGACAACGATGTTTGCTATACCTCTAGAAAGAGCAGTGTTCATTGATTATATTTTATAAGTAATATATTAATTGTTTAGACAATTCTAATATTTACTTATTATCACAAAGCCCCATTACGCGTTGTCCATTGGTATCTAACCCAACATATTCCACTCCGAGCGACATATGTTGAAATCGTCCTTGAGACATTGCTGTTGTGTGCGAATTTAATTTACCAGTTGCTAACATTACATCTTTAAAATTGATAGATGAATATACTACACGTACTAAATCTTCATTACAAGTATCGATAGGTATATCGCTTTCAGTCCAACAAAATGTATTTAAATCACCACGAACCTACAAGTATATAAGAA